TAAGATGTATGGATACTCACTTAGCACATACTGGAAATGAAATTGGGGGAGCAGATAGGTTAACGAAGCTGGAGTCCCGGACTCCAAAGGGGGGTGGGGTCAGTTTTAGGGGTTAGTTTCTTTTTTTTCTTTTCTCTCTCTCTTTTTGTTTTCTTGTCAAATTTTAAAATAAATAAATAAATTTTAAAAAAATGCAAAGTTTAAAATAAACACTACTCAATCAATCACCCTACACCAATGTTGCATATTCATACCCATTTTATGCCTCTTTAATTGTCATGGCTTCTATATAAGAATCATGGATATTTAAGTATGGAGAGATTCTGAGAAACAGTGATTCCCTTCTCCTTCCAACAGAACTACCAGTGTCAGGATTTCTTCAAAACCAGGAATGAGCACAAAGCTGGTGTTCAAGTATAGGTTAAAAATATCAGAAATATCACAAGTGGGATTTGTGACAAAATGTTGCAGTGCAGATGCATATTCAGTGCCTCAGACAGGCAACCATAACTCCTTTCATAGTACTCTATTCCACTTTCAACCATTCAGCACCTACCATCCTCATACTGTGGCCATTGAGCATGCCCAGTCCTCATTTTTAAGAAGTGGGTTATAGCAACTAAGACTTTCCCCCCTGCTTCTTTTCCGATTAAGAGTAGATTACTTTCACTCCATACACACTTCAGGCAATCAATTTCCACTTTATTCCTCACCATTTAGCAAGACAACAAAAGTAAATAATTGTCAGAAGAAAATACATTTCTTGTTCCCTTCCAAGCCTGGAAACATAATAGACTAAACACTAAAATAACAATTGCATGACGAAAATCATACAGTTCACTAAATGTAATCATCTAAAAATATTCACATTATTCACAGTTTACATGGTAACCAACATCTGAATTTAGAACTGATTGCAAACTATCTTTCAGTATCATGGGAAAAAATCCCAATACTTTGGGATATATTCAAAGATGAGAAAATAACATTAATGCAGAATTACATAAGAATGCATACCTCCAAACATTTAGTAATTGTTCAATTATTGTTTCTGTAGCAAACTGAAATTATTACCATAGAAAAACTCTGCATAGTATTATTTGAAGTTGTTCTCAAAGAGGAAAAACATCTGGTTTATAACTTATAGGCCAAAATCCTCTTGCTAAATAATTCTGGCAGAAAGGAAATGACATACGTTGCAGTGGTCAATTGCCACTTACGAGCCAACTGCCCTTTTATTCCCAGTGGAGTAATCTGATTCTTTTTTTTTTCACCTTTCCCCACAGAAAGTAGTCCAAAAAAGTCATGTGTTGGAGAAAGATGAGTAATTGAATTGGATTTCCTGCAATCAGATATCTGAAGCATAAATAATGATTGCTTTTCTAGCTAAACACTGAAGAGTAACTCTGTACATCAAACCATACAGAGCTTATTTGTCATCAGCAAGATAGTTACAGACATCCCGCTGGCAGCATTTATGAGTTTTTAAAGATTAACTTTCCTTTAAATTTATATTTCTTAATTTTGTCGCAATATTGTCAAACCACAGACACTTGTATGAACATCTGCCTTTCATATTATCAACTCGAACACTTCCATACGGGAGGAGAAATTTCAGACACTGTACCTCAGGAGTGGTGTGAATATAATGTTTCCAATTTCTTAACCACAACTAAAAAGCTGGTGACTATCCCACAAGTCAAGGCTTCCCCCTCTGATTTCATTGTAAATTCCCCCACCGCTGCCTTTGCTTGACTTTTTAGCATCAGCTGCACATCTTCTGTTACTTTTAAGCAGGGATTGCAGACTAGCTTCAAATCCAGGTTTTAAAGCTTTGTTTTAAAGCTAACTGTGCTTTATTAGTTTTCTTCCAGACTTTGTATTACGTCATAGCCGATGCTGAAAAAGTCAACCAAGCATGGATAAAGGAACAGCTTAAGATCCTCTCTTTTATCCTGGAGAGATAGCTTACCACAGCACTAGCTACTACTGGTGTCTGATTACGCAACAGCCTAGGTCCTGTGATTTTCTTCAACACGAAGTTTGTGTAAGTTAGGGAAAAATGCAACCTGTCCCTTTCACCAGTGTGAGGAATATTGTGCTCAAGCAATCTGAGGCAGGAGGCCACATCATTTCTCTTTCTCTTTCTCTCTCTCTCTCTCTCTTTGTAAAAAAATTGATATTATCAAATTCTTCCAGGTTTTGCATAATCAAATCACCCTGGTGTCATGTTACAGCCCTATGTCAAGTAAATTTAATTTTTTCCTGTGTCATGTTCATTCTGTATTAGGTCCAAACTCCTGTGAGGTCTACCACTTAGGGAGATGAGAAACACAGTTATTTCATTAGTGGCACCTAAGATGCAAAATTCCCATCTTCTGAGGTCAAGTTTGAACAGCTAGACCCTTTCTTTCACAGGATAATAAAAGCTTATATTTCATATTTTGTTTGGAAACATTGGCATTCCATAGTAGAACAAAAAGGTTTTCATGTAGAAGGTCCCATAGAAGGTTTTGTAGAACTCAACACACCTCAGCAATTTTTAAAAATATATTGTTGTAAACCATTTTGAGAAATACTACAGCTGAAATATAGTATGCAAATGATGTAAATTCAAAAACTAAGTTTACCATTTTATATGGTTCCTCTGCACCTTTAGGTGGCAATCCTAAATGCACTTTACTCTGAAGCAAGGTTCATCAAACTTTGTGGGACTTACTTCAGTATGTGGGTGGACAGACAGACAGACAGACAGAAAGACACTGTGGGACTTACTTCAGTGTGTGTGTAGACAGACAGACAGACAATTTAGCTGTTGAGTCATATTCTAATCTTTTAATACTTAGCCTTGTTTTATGAAGAAATAGAAGCAATGGAGAATATCACTGTGCATACTCAAGAAAAGCAACTTACCTCGCACATAGACTGTGAGTCCATGGATATCACGTACTTCAAGCAAAGTTGGAAAAGAGAAAAAGAGAAAATTACTTTCCTAAGTATCTCTGAAATTTTCTTCATAAACATCTGTTATATAATGCAAAGTGTCAGAAACAGCTTTTACAAAGGGAGATGGAAGTCATGCTAAAGATTACTGTATGATTTCAGCTCTGGTCTCATTAACTATATAGCTACAGCACAAATTCAGTATGTTCAGTAATTAATACAATACGTTCAGCCTGGAGGCAGGTGGTGCAGCATGGCCTCTCCCAATTTGAAGAAGCACTTGTTCAGCAGGCCGAGACAAAGAGGCAGTCCCAAAACCAGCAAAATCAGGGAGCTGGACAAGGGACAGATTCTATTTGTCTTCAGTGTGGAAGGGATTGCCACTCTCATATTGGCCGCCTCAGCCACACACTGTTCTAAGACCTCTATTCAGAGCACGTTACCATAGTCTCTCGAGACTGAAGGATGCCTACTAACAGTATGAATTATACCAATTTGATAACACTTTAACTGTTGATATTGCTGCTACTGTTGTTGTTGAAAAAATACCAGGCACAGTCAATCAAAATTGTAAAAACATTGGCATTATATAGCAGATACAATTTTTAACCAAAAACCTAAGTATCTGTTAAATATTGACTGAGTATATATGCTGTTCATAATATTTGCCTTTTTTTGTAGCTCTGATCATGTTATTTTTGGAATCTAATACTGTTTATAAAACTATGTGAAATTTCTTGATATTGTTCCCAAAGCCCCAATGATGATGGGGACCACTAAGGTATGTTTCATCCATAAACAAGATGTTTCGATTGCCAGACCTCTGTATTTTGTTAATTTTTCCAATTCTTTATTTTCAGCTCTGGCATCCCCTGGAGTTGCAATGCCAATGATTCAGACATTTCTTCATTCTGTTATCTCGTGTGTTATGTTCAAGATGTCTATCAATCTAGAGCTGGAAATCTCACAAGGTATTGACTTTTGTTATTTTCTGAGTAGTACGATCTAGAGCTGGAAATCTCACAAGCTATTGACTTTTGTTATTTTCTGAGTAGTACTCAAGACAACTTACAGCTATCATAAAACAAATAACAAATAAAAATATATTCAAACAATATTATTATTAAAATCAAACAAAACAAAACACAGCTGTAGGAACACTAAAATCAATAAATCTACATACAGTTAACATTGATAGACTAAACAAATCAATGTCATAAGGCAATTTTTTAAAAAGGATCTTCGTGTTAGAAAGAAAGGAAGCTGAATACAGCTTTGAGGGGAACGTATTTCATAGGTAAAGAAACATGCAAATCTACCATACAAAGCTCTGGCTGCAGCATACCGTCATACAATTTATATAATGAGCATATAATTCATTCCTGTGCTTCATATGTATGTACATGCAACAATGAGTGCAGAACAAAACCAAAAGGTTTCTGATTGTCACTTCACTTACCAGGATTTCCTGCCGCATCTGAACACCTCAGACCTATTTTTAGTAAAAGAAGAGTAAATACTAAATGTTCTGATAGTATTGTCTTTATTTTTTTTAAGTGGGGGTTTTGTGGGAGCGGATGAAAAGGAGTACATATATGAAAACAGTGGGGAGAGATCATCCTTGGCCCACACATTATTTGTTTTAAAGCAAACAACCTAAAGGTCAAGTTCTCAAGGACAAATTGCCACCTCACAATCACTGCACACCTGGACAGGGGAGGCATTTTTGCCCTCTTCACCTTAAGTGAAGAAAGAAGGAATATTGGACTATCTTCCCACTGGTAGATGAAAGACTGGATCATCTTCCCACTGGTAGGATAACAGACCAAGGCAGGTCAACAACATGGTGAGATTTGTTACTCTTCACGCAAGCACCTACGTTGTGCACAGTTGCACTGCAGGTTCTGGCAGCAAGCTTTCTCATCCTGGTGGGAATCACTTGCCTCAAGTGGATTATACTTTGGTTTTGAAGAACCTATAGCAAGGTCTACTTAATTTTACACTTGGGAGGGTCTAAAAATAGCTCCCTCCTTTTTGTGGCAGCCTAGTGCGAGAGAGGAGCTTATGCCATGATAACAAGCGCCTCAAGGCTTTTCTAGAGCAGAATCGACTGCCTTTGGTTTGGCAGAACTGGTTTCATGGTCCAGCCAGTTATGACCGACACCATTTGCCAGGTTGGACTTTGTACTGGGACTTTATCTCAGGCTGTTTAAAGACATGGTTCTCACCCTACAATGACAAAGAACTGAGATTTCCAATCTCTTGCAAGTAATTCAGGCATCCCACACTGCTTACTGTTTTTCAAGTTACTCTACTCAGCAGAGTTGCACACAGACCTCCACAAAAGTCCCAGTCTGATTTGGAGGACAATATTGGGCTCTAGAATGTATTCCAATTTGGTCTGGAGCAATCTGTGTCCCAACTGATTTGTTTTCTACTCTGGATTTTAACTGATCTCTACATCTGCAGAGGTGATGTGCTGGACCAAAACCTTTTTGTTCCTGCATTGATGTTTAATCGAGACACAATTACAGACCATAATCCGGCTGGTGGCTAATAGAGAAGAGGCCCCCTGCAATCTCAACAAAGGAAGGCTTTATCCCTTTTCCAACTACTCCTTTCCTAAAGAGGGATGTAAGGCTCCTTTAAACCAGCATGAGAAGGTTACCAGAATCTATCAAGCTTACCAGGTGGTCGTTCAGATTCCTGTATCTGACTTACACCTGTGGAATACCAAGAGCAAGATCCTTACAGCACTTTCTACGCTACTTGATTCTACCATTGCAGCCAAGAAGCTGAAACAATTTCACTTTCTACCCCACTATAAAGGTTTCAGCAGAGTTCTTCTGTCATTTATTTCTAGTGACATACCCCGGAGGATATTCCAGTCTGCACCCCACCTCATGAGCTATCGGGTGTACCCCTCTAGGGTTTTTAAAGAAGCGGACCCCAAACCCTTAATCAGGAATAGTAGATCGTTTATTACTAAACTCAAGAAGACCGTGGGCCCTTCTCCTTCTAGCAAATGGGCTAAAGACTGGGGAATAAACCAGCTCCCAAATGACTTGAACAGTAATCAACTCTCGCTACAGAATCGCCTCTTAGCCCTAAGAAATCAAGTGAAGGAACTAAAGAGCTC